CAACTACATTGAGAATTGAGCTCAGAGTCTCACACTTGAAATGCAGGTGCTCTACACTTTATCCATACCTCTTTAACCACACCACCTCTTGTTATTTTTGAGCCAAAGTCTTAGTTTATGCCCAGATCAGGCTGGATTGTGATCTTGCTATTTATCTATTTTGGGGTTGACACTGTATCCAGCCATTGTGCTTCCCCTGTGGTTGGGATAGAAGACTCATGCTACCACAAGCAACCCCTCAGCAACATGGAGTCATTAACTTCATTTTGCCCAGGCTGACCTAGAACCACAATCCCACAATCTCTGCCTTCTGCCTCCCAGAGGATTGCAGGCTTGAATCACTGTACACTGATGTGTGGGGGGAGGGGTAAGTGTGCTATTACTAGGTCTTGAAGTCAGGGCATGGTACTCTTGGACAGGCTTTAGGGACCCTTCTGGGTCTTTGAATAGCCCTAAGAGGGTGGAAGGCACCAGCTAGGGCATCTTTGAGGTTTGAATGGCCTTTCTTTGGAGTTGAAGCTAAGGCTGTGAGAGAAGACTTGGAGATGAACTTTGGGGCATCTCAGAAGAGAGGCTCTGGTCAAAAGCCAGCAGATACCCCAAGTCTCCTTGTTCAATGCCTGCCTTGTCCATTTTGCCTGACTGACCAGGAATGGGGCGAGGGGTACTAGGACCTCCCCAGCTGCCCAAGTTCCTGGGTGCTGTGACTCTGGGTATGGCAAAGAAACAAGAGCCAAATCTGTGAATTCCAGCGGTGCCCTCCTGAAAATCAGCCAACGGGACTGGTCCAAGTGGCCTGTACCACTTTTTTTTTTTTTTTAAGATAAAATCTTAGCCTTCCTATCAGTCCCCATTGCAGATGGACTCAGAGCCACTGTGCCCCTTTGACTCTTCTTCCTGACAGGGCTGTTTGTGAAGAAGTCTCTTTTCTTTGCCCTTCACCACGGTTTGGGAACCAATTGTCCATACTGGACCTGGTGACTGGATCCAGTCCATTGGATCACTCAGAGCTCTTGCTTTAAAACTAATGACAAGATCATGGGGGCTGGCAGAGGTAGCCTTGAGTCACCTTCACGTCACACCCACAGGGCACAGGGCCCCCTGCCACCCCTCCTGGGGCCTATAGCCCTTCTTCCTTTCTCTGATGTATGTGTGTGACATCTACTCTGCAAATCATGGGGAGTTTTTGAGCATTGGGGTGAAATGGTCAACCATGAGCCAGCAACACTTCAGATCAGTCATTTGGAGCATCTGTGTGGCCTCTCTGTTCCAAAGTGGTTAGCTGATTAGAAAGAGCGTGAAAGTGTTAAGGTTGGGTGCCATGGCTCATGCTTATAATCCTAGCTTCTCAGGAGGCTTAGATCTGAGGATCATGGTTCAAAGCTGGGGGGGGGGGTGCAGTAAAGTCTGTGAGACTCTGATCTCCAATTAACCAGCAAAAAACTGGAAGTGGAGCTGTAGCTCAAGTGATAGAGTGAAAATGCTAAGGGAGTGGATGCTAAAGGTTCTGAGTTCAAGTCTAAGTACTGGCACAAAAAAAAAAATCAAAGAAGAGCCTTTTGGACTTCCAGCAATGGTGCTGTGTAGGATAACAGCATGCAATGTGTCACCAGCAGTGCCACAAGGACAGAAAATTCTGCTTCCTTCTTATGACATGGACAGGTGTAGAATGAAGGCTTCCTTCCTCAGTTTTTGGGCTCATTCTTGGGACTCCAGTCTGTGGAGTGGTGGGCTATCTTAGTCTTCAGAAGTGATCCCAGCAAACCCCAGGCCACTGGCTTTGTTAAGCCCAGTGTCCAGCAGCACCAGCTCTGCCCCCAGAATGGAATGGCCTGCTGCCCATTGCCCTCTGCAGCTAAACTACGTACCTTGGTGTTGGGTTTGGGCAGAAAAGGCCCGTGAGTTATTATATTCATTCCAAACACTTGGAGGCTGTAGTTGGATACAGGTCTTTATTAGGAAAAATATAAATGCAGTTACACCTTTTGCATCAATATGACTTCCAAGTAGAAATTGCTTTGTGGAGCTGTTACTTATTTAAGGGCAGGGCGGGGGAGCCTGCAGTGCACAGAGGAAGCTGCCTTCTTCAGGACCATTTTCACATTATCTGGGAGACGCAATGGAAAAATACAAAGTACAGCGTTTATCACATTTAACACGGACTCTATCACCACGCAGACACCAAGAGCCCGATGAGGCTGGGAATCACACAAATTCACTTTTGATTATTTTAGGCCATATGAGTGGTGTGCTTCTAGAACTTGGAGCTCTTTTTGCTGGGAGCACTAGTATGGAAGGGGCTCCCTTTGGGATGAATCAGAGAAGCTATGTAGATGGACCAAGCATCTTGAATACTCATCTAGCTGTGAAAATCTGCTCACCTGTGACAGGTGACAAACTTCCAGTGAGAAAGCCCCTCACTCCGATGAAGAATCACCCCCAGAAGGATTAAACAGGGTCCAGTGGAAAGCTTGGGTCTCTGTACAACCTTTGCTTGGGCAGAGCCTCTGCATCAAGCTGAAGCTAATTTTTTAGCAAGCAGGTAGACAAGCAGAGGACCCTTCTGAGCTCCCTCTTGGGTATCTTGGTGTCTGACAGGAGCAGGAAACAAAACGGGGCAAGCAATACACATCACAGGTTTAGATTCCAACACACAGCATGTCTCTCAATCCGCACACAAAGGCTGGCAGCAAACACCATCCTAGAGGTAACCAGAGCCCAAGGAAATGGCTACAAGCAGAACCAGCACAAAAGGTTCCAGATGCCCTGGGCAATCGTTCAGAGATGCACTCAACTTGTACTTTGAAGGGGGAAAAGGGAAAGGTGGGGAGAGACTTCTTTGCAAACAGACTATTTGAATACAGATTTGTTTCCTGTGAGTAATCTATATTTAGGAGCAAATTGTAATTCTCCCAGTAAATCTACCCTTATCTACAATCTTCTTCCCCAGGCAGGAAAAAGATATGATTTTCTTGTTTACTTATAGTGAAGATTTAGGGTTATAGTCGCATACTGGTGACAAGCCTAGAATGCTAGCTACTCAGGAAGCTTGAGATCTGATGCTCATGGTTCAAAGCCAGCCAGGGTTGAAAGACCCATGAGACTCTTATCTCCAATTAACCAGCAAAAAGCCAGAAGTGGAGGTGTGGCTCAAGTAGTAGAGCTCCAGCCTTGAAGGAAAAAAAAAGTCAAGTGAGAGCATGAGGTCCTGAGTTCAAGCCCCATATACAAACAAGTTAGAGTTATAGGTTTTTTTCTTGTCAAGAAGCAGATGGAATGTTCCTGACTCATGTGATCTAAGGGAAGATGATCTAAACATTTTTGAGCTTTCTACATGTCTTGAGTCACCTGTAAAATGACTATCCACATGAGAAATCCAATTATTCCCTTGTGACTCAGGTATTATAGTGACAATTTAGAAAATGGGTTTTGAAATTTAGTTTTGTTTCCTAATTGAGATTTCCACCCCACCCCCACCAGACTCTATTTACATATATCTTGGCTGGTTTGAGAATTTTCATTTTGTTTAAATTAGGGCAAGTTTGTGGTGAGTGGATTTCCACACAGTATCCTGTCAAGTGGAGTATCCTGGCTTTGATCTTTTTTCCCCCATTCTCTTCATTTAAAGAATCTTACAGGAGTCTTTTAACCAAAAGGAAAAGGTTTTAGTGAGATTTCATGTAAACCTCAAGGGTCTACATGTTCAAGCAGTTTAATATAGCGACTGATTACTCTCAGTGGAAGAGACACCCTAATCTCAATGTCAGGTAATTTTAATCTTTCTTACAGCAATGCCTTGCTTTGCTTCATAGAGGTGGGAGGGGGCATTTAGTGGCACAGGTGTCCAGGTCATGGTGTAAGGCAAGATGGCAGCATTATCCAACAGTGAGAAGGGTAAGGTTGGGTTTTAATCGAAAGGGAATATTCAGTCTAGGGTTGATTACGTCAACCTTGGAGATGAAATACAAGATAATAACTGAGAATTCATTTCCTATTAATTTCCCTTCCCCACTCTGAACAATACTGAACCTGATGCTGAGACGTTAAAACAATGGCCACAGAAATCATGGGAGTTAGCGGTTCTCAAAGTCAATGCTGCCATAAACTACAGGTCCTTGGGCTCTGGTTAAGGGTCCTGCTTGGTTTTGGGCCCAGTAGAGAAACTGAGGCTATTTGCCTTGATGGTCACAGGGCCCGGGGACATGTCCTCACACTCAGCCTTTGCATTTGGGGAAGTGACAGGACACACACAAGAGACGGGACCTGGATGATGACATTGACTCTGAACAAAAGCACAGGATGGAACAGCGAACATGACTCCACACAAACACAGAGGCACGCAGCATTTTCCGGGCCTGCCAGACCCATTTCTCACTCCTTCTTTGGCACCCAGTTTAAATAAAAGCTTTGATCTTGAGAGGAAATTTTCTCCTGTTGGCAGAGTCATGGAGACAGTCTCGTGACAGGTGACGATGGATGAGAGAGAGAATGATGAGGAGAATGCGATGGGATGCGGAGGAGAGCACATGAGGGTGAGTCTCGGGTCTCCCTCTTGCCCTGGCCTCGAACTCTTTCCAGGCCTCAGCCTGGGATCCTCAGGGAGGAGGCAGAGCCTCGCTCCCACTTGAAAAAGGGAGTGGAGCCTGCTGTCTGAACTCTGAGAGATACAAAACTCATAAGGAGAGGAGTGGCTCCAGAAGAAACAGACTAAATTAAAGCAAATTACATAACGGCCCCAGCCTAAACTCCTGTCACCAGTGACATGGGCTAATCAAAGTAAATGAACAATAATAATAATAAACACCATGTAGTTGCTATATAATCAAATGGTGAGAATAAAGCAAATGGTGCAGAAACAGGACCCTTACAAATGCACCTGGCCCTGCCCAGGAGCAGGGGAAATGCCTTGGCCTTTCCCTAACACTGACTGCAGACCTAGGCTCCTTCTGGCATTCTCCTCAGGAGTTGGGCCTCTCTCACATCTTGAACCTCCTGTTGATAAGAACAGAGAAGACACCATTAAGGCCAGGTTCTCACCATCTGCCTGGCGTGCTGAGCCCTGCTCCTGGACGTGGCTGCCTTCCTTCCAGCTCCCAGGCGAATGAATGTCTTCCTTCTAGGTCTGAGAGACCAGGAGACCGAGGAGCCAGAGCCAGGGCTGGAGTGGAGAGATCTGATGAAGGCTGAAGCAGCAGACAGGCAGATGGATACAGCAAGCGGGGCATGGCGACGCACAATGGAACACGAAAACATGGCACAAGTTGCACACGAAGGGCACCCTGCCTGAACCATAAGGACACTGAGGTCATTGTGGGCCCTCCCTGCCCTGCCGAGGGTAAGAGGGCCAGGGCTATGGCCACATCCCATCAATGGCACTGTGCCCCCTGGGCAGCCTCAGGCCTTGGCACTCCCTGAGAAGTGGCACTTCTCTTGTTGTCCCCCAACCACCCACATTCTTCTTCAGGATTTCTCAGCTGGCCCCGCACCAGGTCTCCTGGGGTAGCCAGAGTGGCCCCAGGGACAGTGCAGGGGCAACTGATGCTCCCAGGAGGCAGGCACCTTGCTGGGCAGCACAGGGCAGCCCTCACCTTTCACTTGGCTGCCAACTTGGTCAAGCACTTGCTAGGTTCAGCCCACCATGGGGTGCAGGCAGGAGGGCTCTTCCGCTCTTGCATGGAGACTTGTCTTCTGCAGGCTGGGGCTCACCCTTGTAAGACTTTCACAAGACTCTCATGAAACAGACAGATGCTCCAGGGAGACACAGAAACACAAGAGAGTGGTACTGGCTTTTATTCCCTGAGAGTGGTCCGCTGTCCTAGCCCCTGCAGCCTGCCCACGCCAGGAGTGAGACAGGGACAGGAGGAGGTCCCCTGGGCACTGTCCAATGAGGTTTGCTACCTCAGGGTGGCCACACACTGACCCTTGGTTGCTAGAATGGGAACATCTCTCCCTGCTGTTGTTCTAGGAGAGACCAGATATCCCTCTCTAGACAAACTTCCCTGTTGCCTGGGCATGAGTTGACCTTTCAGGATGACCCTAAACCAGGCCCCCAAGGCCAAACCATAGCTGGCATTCCCAGGATAGGGCTGCAGCCCTGGAGAGCTCAGCTGACAGCCAGGGGGATGCCTGAACAAGTGAAGAGAGAGGAAGAAGGAGGCATCTTTGCTTACCCAGAGGCTCAGGCCTGCTGTCCCCAGACCTGATGGAAGCAGTGAGGGCTGGGGAAGCTGCCAGATAAAAACGGGCGGTTGATGGCCACGCAGGACCTTCCCTGAGTAAATGCTTCGAGGTGGAGCAGAGGTGCTTGTAACTTATTTATCGCTGGAATCATAAGAGAGCTTATTAAGGCACAAGGGATCCAAGAGGATCGGAAGTGTAGGGTCTTTGGTGGGTTTCCTTCTCCTCCAACCACCTCTTCTTTCTGCATCCATTTATTGAAATTACCGACAGAGCTTGGGGGTACAGGGTGGGGTGGGGGGTGCTTATGTGAGATGGGTAAGGCCAAGAAGGCCAAGGGTCCTTCCACGTCCTTCCAGTCCTAAGCACTAAAGTAGAGTAATCCTCAGACAAATGGGCAGGGGTCAGGGAGCAGCTTGGAGGAAAGTTCTAGAACTTCAATGCTACTCATAGAAGGCAGGTGTTCCCTTAGGTGAGGAGAGAAGGCCCCCTGGGCCCTGACCCCAACGGTCATGGCAGAGATCTTCCTGGTGGAAGGGGAAAGGGGAAAGCCTACAGCTGTGGGCTCCTCACAGATATGCACATCTGTCCTCCACCGGGGAGGCCCCATGGGAAGACTGCCCAAAGAGCAGACTCCTTAAGAAACACCTCCCATCTGTTCGCTGGCCGTTGTATCCTTTGCTCCTTCTTGGTCCACACATTTGCACATGCCTCACCCAGGCTATGTGAGTAGCTTTGAGGGGCAGCAGGAGACAGATAACCAGATAACAGAATGGTGGAAGGCCAGGCAACAGGTACTGGGGGAGAACAGAACCGGACCTAAGAGCAAGTCAGTCAGTCACCTGCCCTATGAGGACAGGCAAGTATGGGAAAGGGGGGCAGAAGACACAAGGCCTTCCCAGGAAAGGCACCTCTGGTCAGGCTGGTGACCAGACCAGGCCCTGGAGTGCAGGCTTCCTTCTCTGGGAGCTATGGAAGCTTCTGATTGGAAGGCTGAGCTCAGGATGATGCTGGAGACTATCAGCCATGCCGGGAAGGTCCTGAATGCACACAGGCTCCCATCCCAGCGTCTGCCCCAGTCTCTGAGCACCTTTCTTCATAACTTAGCAGACCAAGAAAAGAGGCCTTGAAACACACATAAATAGAGGAGGCAGTGTGGCCACCAGGGTGGGGAAAGTGCTGCCAGCCCAGGGAAGTCTGCCCACTCACCCGGGGTGGCGGGTCTGCCCTGGAGGGAGGGGCACAGAGCAAATTTACAAAGCGTGAGCTTGGGGCACTGTGGTCCAGTCTGTCTCCAGGTGGTAGATAACTAGTTTTTCCTTTTCTGGGCAGCCTTTCTCTTCTTCTGTCGCTTCTTTTTTCCTATCTTTTCTTTTTTCCCCACTTTTTCTTCTCTGCGCCCCCTTAGATAAAATTAGTACAACCATTAATCATTTGGAAGTAAATACACAAGCAGTTTAACCCAGCCTGTATAATACTGAACACTGCCCTCCCCCACCACCTCAAGGGTTGGTTTAAACTCCTGTCTCAGGCCTAAAGATCTCGGGGTAAGTCACTGTTCACAAGTAATTATAACATACAGCAGATATTCCCCGTCTTTCCTGAGCAGTGATTAAGAGTCTCACGGACATTTTTGCCTGGGCTGGCTTTGAACCGTGATCTATTCAGATCTCAGCCTCCTGGGTAGCTAGGATTATAGACATGAGCTGCCACGCTGGGCTCCCAAAGCACTAGCTCTTCAAAAATGGAAAGAAAAAAAACAACCCACAAATCTCTGCCTTTTAAAATCAGACACCGCCCTGGAAATTGGTGTCTCTGGACTCAGGGGTTCCGGTGACTCCCCAGGAGAGGAGAAGGAAGGCAACTACGTTCCTATTTCTCCTTTCTGGGTGCCAGGGAGTGCCCTGGTAGGGTGACTGGCATTGTTCTGGAGATCTAGGGCAGAGAGCTGGTTAGCAGGAAGTTGTTAGAGCAACTGGCTCCTGACTGTCATATTACAATGATTCAAGTTGCATGGTATTTAATGATTTATGAGCTGAGGCCACCTGTCTCTGTGGAGGCCCGATATTAACTGTGGCTGAGAATCATGGGATTTTATTTGTTTAACATGGGAAGATGGGAAGGCTTGATATTACTGGGTTGAGTCTCTGGGGATTAAATGAGGTTGTTAGGAGAACCAAGGAAAAGGAGGTAGGGAGAATTAGTGAGTCAAATATTATTTATTGGAAAATTAGCACTCTACTTCCAGTTGGATTGAAAAAAGCTAAAAGGGCCAAAAGTCAAGCTGTAGATGTGATGTGTTTCTGAGAAGAGTCCTGGGTGAGTCTTCTCAGGGAGTAACAGCTCACTCGTATACTTTTGTTTCAGGTAAAGGAATTCCCACGTACAGTAGGAGAGGTGCGTAGTAAGAAAACAATTCGCCTTTTATTGCTAGTGCAGATAATGTCACAGTTGATACAGTTTCGGTACAAGTGATAAAATACACTGTCCCTAACTAACATTGAAATGCTCACATCACATTTCTAGATCAGATATATATATTTCTTTACAAATTGCCAGTGGTTTATGATCACAGATAAAAGTTACCTACTGACATTTTGGCTCCACTTCAGATATATGAATTGTTTAACTACAAATATATTCTGAAATACATTTGTCTGCTAAAAGAAACGTTTAAAAAATTGTGCACAAAAAGAAAAAAATATATATATAAACGCCTTACAAAAAGTTACAAATACCACCAGGCCCATCTGTGAATCATATGTATGCGCAAGAATTTCATCTTGCCCACATATTTTTTTTTGGTGGGGGGACCTGAACTCCCTGCTGTGGCTCCAAGAACAGGGGTTCATGGCAAGATGCTGGTTTATGCATTTGCTTTTTTCTTCTTTTTTCCCCCACTTCTGATTTCATAAACCTCAAGTTTGCACAGACCCCTATAGTATCCCTTTATCCCTTCCCCCCGCCCCCCAGGCTTCAGATGCAATCAAAGAAGCTAAACTCTTAAAGCAAGCTCTCAGATTGAATTTTGCATTTACTACAAGTCTGCAAAGATTTGCCTTTTTGTGGGAATGACCAAGGCATAATCTCGAATCCTCCAGGAGGGACCAGCTCCATTCTGGAGGAGGAGGCCAAAGAGATCTCACAGAGGGCCCCAGTGGGGTGAGGCACTGAGAGGAGGAGGAGGAGGCAGGGTGGGAGGCCTCTGCCACCATCCTTCCTGCCCATGGGACTCAGCATTGATAAGGTATAGAATCGGAAGCAGAAGCGAGGTAAGGCATGCTTGCAGAGCCAGGAGAGAGCGGGGAGGGTCAGAAGGGGTCTCTGAGCACAGTCCACAGTGACAGCTTCTACCTGGAGCTCCAGCTCCAATCACTGAACTTGAGAGAGAGGGTGAAGATGATGGTGACAGAGGAATCCTCAGAGGGGGAGGGCCTCTCCCTGCAGGGCTCTCTCCTACCCTCCCTCCAGCCTCAGCATGTGGAAGAAGGTAAGGAAGGAGGGAGGGAAGAAGGAAGGAAGGGAGGGAGGGAAGAAGGAAGGAAGAAAAGGAAGGATGGGAGGGAAGGGAAAGAAGAAAGGGAATGAGGAAGGGAGGAAGAAAGGAAGAAAAGAACAAAAGGAAGGGGAAAGGGAGGAAAGGAAGGAAAAGGAAGAAAAGAAAGAAGTGAGGGAGGATGGGAGGAAGAAAGAAGGAAAGAAGTGAGAAAGGAGGGAAGAAGGGAGAAAGGAGGGAAGAAAGGAAGAAAGAAGGGAGGAGGGAAGAAAGGAAAGAAAGAAGGAAAATAGGGGGGAAGGAAGGAAGAAAGAAAGGGATGAAGGGAGGGAGGGAGGGTGGCTGGGAGGAAGGAAAAGAAAGGAACACTTTCTTGAGCTCCCTTTGAAGAATCTGTCACTGGACTGTCCCCAGAGGACCGAGGGAAGGAAAGGAGAAACTCCAAAACAAACCAATACAGATCTTGAAGTCATCATTGATTAAAAAAAAATGATTATGAGGATGATAATGATGATGATGATGACGATGAGGCTGACTGGTTGAGGGGATAATACATTTGTCTTAGAAAAACCTCAGTTATAACAGCTCCAATGTGTAAGGGAGGGATGAATACAAGTTGCAGTATCAAACCCACTGCTATAGGTGCAGATTCTCTATACTGGCAGACCCCCAGGCGCAGCCTGGCTCAGTGCTGCCCCCTCCAGGCCCGCCTGGCCGTGGCGCTCACACCCTCCCCCCCAGCCCAGCCCTGGAATCTCACAGGTGTTAGCCTTCCTCAGTGGTCTATGCAACATCTTTCGGGTTCTCCTGCTTACTTGTTTAAAGCTTTCTCCAGGTATTCTTGAATCCACTTTAACTTGGGGTCAATGCACACCTGTCGGTTGTTGCTCTTCAGCCTTGCCCTGTGGAAATAGAAGAGGTGATAGGGGCCGGCTGGGTGAGGAGACCGGGCACTGGGCTTTACCCCCTCACCACCCAGGACAGTGCCACTGCTATGAGGTCCACAAATGAGGGGGTGAAGAGGACACAAAACTGGAGCTTGGCAGGGCCATGCAGGAGCTGGGAGTGATTACAATCTCTGCAAGGGCTCCCAGGGTGAAGTGACAGCAGGGGACATGTAAGATGCTGGCTTTTGAAGGAGAAGCTGAGCTTGGCTAAGGAAGAAAGAGGAAAGAAAACAAATACACCAGGGAGGTCAAAGGACAGAAGGGAGGTGAAGGAAGATGGAGTCCGGATGCTCCAGGAGCTTATGGCCAGACAGAAGCCGGCAGAGGAATGCAGACTAGATGGGAAAGGTTCTAGAAATGTTTGAAGAGTCTTGATTTTGATTTTTCTGGACATCGTGTGTGTATGTGTGCGCGCGTGCGCGCACGCGTGCGTGCTAATATCAAGACTTGAATTCAGGGCCTCCCTCTCTCTCACTTGGCTTTTGTTGCTCAAGGCTAACACTCTACCACTTGGCTAGTTAATTGGAGATAAGAGTCTTATGGACCTTTCCTGCCTATGCTGGCTTCAAACCATGATCCACAGATCTCAGTCTCCTGAGTAGTTAGCATTACAGGCGTGAGCCACCAGTGCCCAGCTCTGCTAGACATCTTGACAGCACATGGAATGGATCTAAGGGTGTCCTGAAGGAAGATGATCACAGTCTAGAGAGACAGTCTAGTAAGGGACCACACAAGCGAGAGGAGACCATGCAAACAGGAGAGGGGTTCTATTGACAGGAAAGAATTATGCAGGTGAACGTCAGAAAATTGTTTCCAGAAAGATTTTGACAAGTTTCACGTTAAAAATTGAAGCAGACAATACAGAGGCTTGTGAAAGTGGGAACTACAAAGAACCCAGCAAGGTATCTGAGGGCTGTTGGGATGGCATGCATTAAGTGCTCATGCAAAGTTGCCACCACCACCAGCCAGCAAGCTCCAGGCTGTCTATCCCATGTGATCATGATTGACAGCACCCCCCAGGATCACGCTTCACACTTACACAATCTGAAGGGCGCAGTTTGGAGTGTTGAGGATTTTGAGATGCTTGACATTTGCTCTGGCAACATGGCTCTCGAAGAATCGGCACGGGCATCGGTAACTCAGGCTGACAGGTTTCCCTGGAGGAGAGAATGAGAACAAAGCCACTGGTTACTGGTTACCCTCCTGGCACAGAAGACAGGAGGGGTGAGATGGGAAAGCTACACTATAATATTATATACCATGATCGATGTGCATATATGTGTATACACACACACAGAGATCCATCCATGACTGCACAGATGCATAGACAAACACCACCTTCCTTGTAGACATAATCTTATTCTTCTTTATGGCCAAATAAGCATATCATACATAGATAGATACAGAGACAGACAGACAGACAAACAGGTAGATTGAAGCATCTAGTCTGATGTTTGGCTATGGTGAACAGAACTGCAAAGAAAACAAAAGCCACGAGTGTGCAGACTTCTCTCTTGCACACTGATTCCCACTCCTTCAGCCATAGCTGTCTGCATGCCCTAGAGTGTAACCCAGGTTTGCCTGGCTGGCTTGGTTCAGGCTCAGCCTCTACAGTAGGAGGGACTGCAGGCATTTGCTGAGAGCTGGTCTATAAGAATAGGAAGATGAGAATAGCAGGCCCTGTTCAGGTGTCTCAAGATCTGGGCAGAAACTACAAGGATCCAGTCCAGGACAGAGATCCCCCACTTCTCCTTGAAGCTCTCTCTCCTCAGGGAAGGGGTGGGGAGGGGAAGAAGGAAGGCGCCTCCCCTCCTCATGGGGGGGGAGCTGACGGGGGGGGGGGTGGGGGGGGGGGGGTGGGGGGGGGTGGGGGGGGGGGGAGGCTGGGGACTCGGAACCGCAGCAGGGCTGGAGAATGCTGCCCTCCCCCACCTGCAGTTCCCAATCCACCTTAAGCTCAGGTCTGGAAACCACAAAAGAATCCAGCCTGCTTCCTACCTGGGGTTCCCAGAGGGCAGGCTCTTCCCTGGACTGGAATGGGGGGTGGAGGGCAGCGCTTTTACAAACTGGGGCCTCCTGGATCCCATTACCATCTTTGATTACCAATTCGCCAATTTGCAAAAATGCCATAATTGACACTCATTAGTGTAAATTAGTAAGAGGCTCCTGGAAGACTCACTCTTAAATCCAGAATGGCAAGTCCTGGGGCGGGGGAGGCTTAAATTTGTGGAGAGGGGGTCAATTCTTCTCCTTTAGATTTTATCCTAGCTCTACTTAATTACCCCTCAAATTATTTGAATTCGTGTCAGTCTGTGGATCCTTTCATCAGGGATTAAATGCGTGCCTGAGAATATTTAATCGAGGGATTTTTTTTTTTAAGTTGGTTTATTGATTGATTGCTTTCTATGCCTATTTACAGAGGTCCAGAGAGTCTGGGCGCTCCAAAGTTCTGTCTCTGGTGGGTGAAGCCTTGCACGTGAGGGCTTAGCTTTCCTACAAACACCAAGTCTGGGGGAAAGCAGAGGCTTCCAATGGCTCTCCCACCCCCACCAAATGCCACGGGCAACTTCTTGAAACCATCGAGAAGATGGCCTGTTATCTGGATGCAGAGGGAAAAAAACAGCATTTCCAGCAGCAACACGGGTCCCTGTAATCAGAGCACCTGAGAACTGCATCCCCCTCCGTAGTCCCCCTCCGAAGTCTGCGGCCTCTAGGTTTCCTGGCATTTCCCTAGGCCCCTTCAGCTGGGGGAGGGGAGAGAGGACAAATGAAGTCTAGCAGCTAGGCAGGACTAGCCCCAACTCTAGAGTAGTGAGCTTGAAGGCTGCAGTGGAAGCGCTGGGGCTGCTTCTCTCCCCCGTGTTCCCAAAAGCTGCTTAGCCCCACTAAATCGAATCGTGGAGACCAGAAGTCAAAGGCAATTCCAAAGCCTGGAGCCTACACCCCTCCACCACGGTGCATCTGCGCATTTCCTACAAAGGCAATCCTCACTCTCCTTCTCAGGACCCCACTCCCAGCTGGTCTAGCAGGGGGAGTTTCATCAGGTTGGAAAAGTGACAGAACTCCCAGGTGTCCTCACAGAACCCTCCCTCCACCTCCACCTCCTGTCCATTCCCACAGCTTTTTGCTTATGTTACTAGCTTTTCAGCCTGGCGCCAGAGGCTCACATCCCTAATCCTAGCTGCTTAGAAGGCAGAGATCTAAGGATCCATGGTTCAAAGTCAGCCCTTGAAAGTCAAGTCCATGAGACTCTTACCTCCAAGTTACTGGCAAAAAAGACCTAGAAGTGGAGCTGTGGCTCAAGTAAGGAGAGTGTCAGTCTTGAGTGGAAAACCCCGAGGAAGGTCCTGAGTTCAAGCCCCAGTAATGGTATGCATTTTTTTCTGTTTGGGGTATGACTCTAAAAGTTCTGACTGGCTCCACGTCACCTTACACGGAGATCTAGAGAACTTGGCCTCCAGAGCAATTTCTGGGAGAACCCTCCACATGAGTACCAGACAGAGCTCTGGCCAGGGGCTCCTCCAAGCAGGCTTGAGACTAGAACCCACCCCTGGGTTTAATGCTGAAATCCCCAGAGCAGCCAGAGGCCCAGGCTTGATGGGCTCAGAATCGGAGCAGGGTCTTCCCAGGGTGCAGTCTGGGAACTGTGGAGGGTGCAGGGGAATCTAGGATCTAGTAAGTAAAGAAAAAAACCAAACTATAAGTGCCTCGGAGCAAGGAGACAACTCCCAAAGGCAAGCTACCCCCGACAGGCAGGGAGAGATACCTGTGGGGAGGCAGCCCGCTTTCACTTTCTCAGTGCACCCCCCCTCCCCCCCCCCCCCAGCTGCACCCTGGACTCCAGGACTTGGGGCTCTGCCTTCCTGTCTTCTCAAGCCAATTCCAAGGCGCCGCACTACGACATTGCCATCCTTACTAAATTTACTAAATTATTAACACCCAAACCAGAGTGTCCCCTGACCCAGGAGGCAAGGGACAAAGAGTGACAAGGAGTCACCTCACAGATCTCAGCAGCAACAGGAAAAAAAAAATCAAAACTGCATTCACTAACGGTTGTTTTCATCAACAACTCCCTAATGCTTTTAGATAGTCTTCCCTCCACGGGGTTAGCGCCATTTCTCAGCTGCCCTTATGGTCCAGGACCCTGGAGAACTCTGCCAAAGTGCTGGGGCATACTACGTCTGCACAAACCATGGCTGTGCACCAACTGAGCACTCAAAGGTGTTCTTAATAGCCAGGTAGGTATTGGTAGCTCACGCCGCCTGTAATCCTAGCCACTCAGGAGGCTGAAGACCTAAGGATCACAGTTCAAAGCCAGCCCAAGGCAGAAAAGTCCTGAGTCTGGAGACTCTTATCTCCAATCAATTAGCAAAAAGCCACAAGTGGAGGTGTGGCTTGAGCGCCAGAGCGTCAAAAGCCAAGCAAGAGTGCCAGGCTCCGAGTTCAAGCCCCAGTACCAACATGCACACATAGCCACACACACAATAGAGTTTTTCAACCCTTTTCAGGAAACTTTGCAGCCCAGGAAGAACAACAGCCTGACGGATAGGGTTTTGTTTTGTGTGTTCACAGGCAATCGTTTATTTTGTTTTGCAGCAATGGTGTCCTGTAACCGAGTACCGAGTTTTTCCTCCGGCGTCAAAAAGAGCCAAAAGAAAGCAAGCCCCCTAGCTCCCAGTGAAACGGGACACCGCGATTCCCAGCGGCCCGAGGCTTGGGTGCGGGGCTGGCCGCCACAAAGGCCCCTGTCTGCAGGTGTGTTAGGGGCCCTGGAGGACGCGCTGGGCCTAGACGACCTCTGGGCCTTGCTCCAGTGACCCCAGGAAGCGGCGTGGAGATGGTGGATGGACGCGCACCCCCAGCGCGTCGCTGCGGACCACCGAGCTGTGCCGAAGCGCGGCCTGGCGGGTGGCGCAAGCCGGCCAGCTGCGCAGCACCGCCGGCCAGAGCCTGGCCGGGCGCCCCGCGAGGGTTGCGGGAAGGGGGATCAGCTTCACTTGGAAGAGACGCTCGCGCAGCTGCTGCACCCGAGCTAGCCACCGCGCCAAGCACTTCCTCGTACTTGGCCAGTCGTCTCTGCAGAGCCCGTTGCAAGCAGCGCCCGGTTGGATCTTCCGCCCGCCCGGTGCGCGGCGGGACCCGGGAGAGGATTCCCCTTGGAAAGCGAGCTCGGCGCGGGCCGGTGCCCCTCGGCTCCCACCCCCGCGCGCCCCGGACGCCCGTGCGCCCCGCTGGGGTCCCGCGGCTGCACGTTGCAGGGCGCATCACCTCGGACACGGCGCACGGGGTACACGGAGCTGGAGGGGGGGAGGGAGGGTCCTGCCTCGGCGTCCCAAACGGCGCGACCCGGGCACCGGCAAGCCGCAGACGCTTCGCCAAGCCGCAACTAGAATTAGGCACAACCCCCTTTGCAGGGCCTCGGCGGCCGAGCGCAAAAACTCACCATCGCTGAGGCAGAGCGCGGCTAGCACCAGGGCCAGTACGGCGATGACCTTGGGGTCCATGGCGCGGGCGGAGGGCGCACCCGGGACAGACGCGGAGCGGGCGGAGCGGCGGTGGAGAGGGAAAGTGTGGCGGCGGGAGGCTGCGGCCGGGCGCTTTAGCGGCGCTGAGCCGGGCGGGGCGGGGCGGGGCGCGGGCGCGGGGCGGCGGCGAGGGGCGGGCCTGGCAGCCCGGGGTTCGTCCGCGCGTCCCCGCCCCGCGCCCCGGCTTGCTCCCCAGGGCGCTGAGTGCTCTGATCTTTGATCCCCCGTCCCGCTGGGTCCGGCTCAGTGGGCCAGGACCACCGGGGGATGGAATGCTGCGCGGGTTACCGCTTCCATTGCGTGGGTGGAAGGGGAGAGGGAGGACCAGTCGGGGGCGGGCCTTTCCTTGATCAGGGACTGGTGAACCCCTATACCCAGCCCGGCCCAAAGGCGTTTCGCGGTACCCCTGAGCGTCGTAATGCAAGGTGACCCACCACGGGCGCCCTGCGCCAGTCAGGGGAACTTGACCGAGGGAATGCCACCAGTTTTGCAATCGGAGCGACTCTAACGCCAAACTCTGCGTCCTGCGCCTGCGAACGCAGGGTTCTAACTAGGTTGAGATTACGATTGCTTGCCAAGGAACCCAGCCATTGCTCCTGGCAGCTGTAGGTCGCTGCAGGTGAATTTCGAGACCTGTAATGCTCTTGGCCCTTCAGTTCCATCTGGGAAGGGTTGATCAATTTCCCCAGCAGAGTGGAACAAGGTGGAGATTGAATGAGACTCCCCGAAATCATGCTTTCGGCTATCCCCACGGGTGAGAGAACTAGTCTCCCCCCTCCCCCACCTCTTTTGCTAGGACTGTGCTCCTGGGGGTAGCTCTTCGGACTTGGAAAAACTACACACGCCCAGCAGTCCTTTGGCGGGGGTCTCTGGCCCTCCCAAGAGGCCACTACGTCCCGGGCTGGACACCTGGGACAGAGACAGTGTGCAGCACTGGAGATGAAGCCCCTCTGGGGCTTCCTCTGCGACCACAGGCACCAGATGGCTCCAGCCAGCCACTGGAGTGGTTCTGCGCCCACATCCACCCTAGGGGCGCACAACAAAGACAGCTTTTGCCCCTGGAGAAGGAATTCTGCTGGTTGTGGTGGGGCCAGGCCTCGGGGGTCCATCCAGGGATCGAGGAGGGACGGTGATCCGGAGGTTGCTGGGACTCTAGGACTCCAGCCGCAGGAACCAGTGTCTTGGGGGTATTGCTCCCTCTGGGCACAGCCACTTTGGCCCCAAGTTAGAAGCATCTTGGACGTGCACCAATCGTCCAACACGCCTGGCACACTTCTGAGTTGCCAACTGGAACCCCATTAATTTGACCCCCCCCCTAGAAATCTAAAAATCCACCAACCGCGCAATCCCCCGACATCACCCGCCTTCGCCTTGTCTCCGGAGTTCCCAGGCTGGCTTTTCTAAATCCGCGCGTCCAGCGAGGCCACAGACTGACCGGGCATGGGAACGCCTGGGATCTGCCGCCCTCTGGTGGCCGCAGCCCCGCACAGGTGCACTGGTCAGCGGTGAGCGGCCATCCCACTGGGCATAGCACTGGCGCCCTAAGAGCCCCAGGGCACCCCCAGAGGCAAGCGGAGCCTTCCCTGTAAATAGGCCCAAAGCGCTAGCAAAGCCTCCTGTGGATTCATTTTTGGCACCCAAAACCAAGAGGATTCTGGGAAGACCCGGCACGGCTGGGACTGAGGCTCTGGTGAACCCCAGCCTTCAATCTGACAGTTTCCCTCCTCTACCCCAAAGACTCAGGAGGGAAGTTAGTGTAGGGCTCCATCCATGGAGCCATGGAGCCCACTCCTCTGCCATTCACTCCATAAATATTTTGGTTACTAATATAAGGCGCAAGACTTCCCTCTCTTAGAGTTGACATTTGAGTGGGTGCAGAGCAGGGATGCAAGGAATGGCACCCCCATACACCAAGCACTTGGTATGGAGGCCTTGCGTGTCCTGCAGAGAAGGGGTGTCAGGATTTGAAATAGGGTGGCTTGGGAGCTGTGCTTTGTATAAATTCCCACATGGTGCACCTGGCATATGGCTTAAATGGAAAACCCCGAACGCTCGGAGGGCTCTGCGAAAAGCACCGACAGACCAGGCCATCAGACTTTGAGCACTTGCTCAAGCAGCTTGCTTGCTTAGTGCTCTGCCACTTGAGCCATACCTCCAGCTCAGGTTTTAGTTAGTCAATTGGAGGTAGAGTCTTAAGGACTTTTCTGGCTTGGAAATGCAACCCTATGGATCTCAGCCTTCTGCATAGGTAGGATTACAGTGAGCTATCCAATCCTAGCTGTCCCTCGAGTTACCTCATTCTATTTTCATGTACGTACATTAAGTATTAAGACTGCATTCACCCATTCTGCCTTTCTCTGTTCATCTGCTCACTACACTTAAACTCTAACATCTCAGATAAAACATGTTTCATTTAAAAAATGCTTGAAGTTGTAAAAAAAAAAATCCACCAACATACTAGATGTGGTTAGAGACACAGTTAAAAAAATCTTCCAGGTACTAGTGCCTCAGGCTTGTAATCCCAGTTACTCAAGAGATCTGAGGAACCCAGTTCAAAACCAGCCCAGGCAGAAAAGTCCTTGAGACTCTTATCTCCAATTAAACAGCAGAAAGCTGGAAGTGGGGGTAAGGCTCCAGTAGCAGAGTGTTAGCCTTGAGCAAAGAAACAACAACAACAACAAAGAAAACCAAAATCTAAAGGACAGTGCCCAGGCCCTGAGTCCAAGCCCCAGTACACATACCCACTCGCCGCCCCCCCCCAGCCCCCCACACAAAGCTTTTCCATTCAGTTCTTACAAAGACCCATACTGCAGAACTTAAGGCCCAGAAAGGTTGAGAACCCTTGGCCAACATGTCAGAGCTGGCAAGGACACAACTGTGTGGAACCAGCATCTGGGGTTAGGTGAGAGCATGGCAGGTAACATGGGTAAGTTCCATGGCACTCACAGGGTGGGGGTGGGGAGCTCTTAGAGACCCCCCCCCCCCCCAGGGCCCAGCTCAGCATCTCTTAAGCTGGCCAGGCTTTATTGACTGCCTCTAAATGTGGCCTTAGGAGCCAATTCCAAAGAGCCCTAAGCCATTCTTCATCTTCAGGGAAGGACTCCAGGGAGCCTGGGCTGCCCTGCTGGTTTTGGGGTCCATAGGCAGGCCAGGCTCACTGAGGAACACAACTGGCCAGCAAACTAGGACAGCCAGGCCACAGACTTTCTTGGCTGGATACTAAGGCAGGGTGATATTTCTGGGGAAATATCCCCAGAATACCCCCAGAATCTTGGCTCTGGCCCTCAGGACCCGCAGAGACAACATCCTAGGGCAAACCCAAGTACCTCCGCCCGAAGCACCAATTTACCACTTGCTGAGCTTTAGCACGGCACTCAGCAGATTCAGATCTGAATCTTTTCCACTGCTCCATTCCTAGTTGCACCCCTCTCTCCCAGGAAGACAGGGTTCCATAGGGCAAAACTGAAGGTTCCGACTTGGAATAGTTAGTGTGATAAAGAATAAGTTTTATTCTGTGGCTCCAGTTTCTTGCAGGCTGAGAAATATTACATATACTCCAGAAGTGTTTTGAATTATATACAATTCTCAGGGCTAGAGTACGAATGCTCTTCTCTAGCAGATGTGTATGAGCACATCACCTGCCCATGGCCACTCAGTAGCTCTCAGTTATATAATAACAGAGAGAGTTTACTACTGTCCGTAATTTCAAATATCCACCTGGCATCCTGGCTCAGGATTCTAGACCCAATTGCCAGATCATATGAACTTGAGAGTATAAATAATGTTGGAATTACTCATTGCTGTGTATGTATGTGTGCCTGTGTGCCTCTGTGTGTGTGTGTGTGTGTGCGCCTGTGTGTGTGTGTGTGTGCATGTGCGTGTGCGTGCACCAGCAACTGGGACTGGAACTCAGGACCTGGGCACTATCTTTCAGCTTTTTCACTCGTGGTTTCTACTCTACCATTTGAGTCACACTTTCACTTCTGACTTTTTGCTAATTTATTGGAGATAAGAGTCTCAGGGCCTTTCCTGCCCAGACTGGCTTTGAACTGCCATCTTCATACCTGTTTCCTGAGTAGCTGGGGTTATAAGTGAGAGGCACTGCCGTTGGACTTGCAGGGTCCTGTTGGTCTCCTTATATTGATACTTGTTCTCTGACACCGGATGAAGCCCTACCCCCTACACAGCCGTCAATCAATGTGTTCTGGAGCAGGACCATGCCTAGTGGAGGATCACAGTAGTTTCGTCAGATAAAATTGGGGGCATTAAATTGAGTTTCAGATTTATAACAAGTTGGGTTTTGCTTTTGTTGTTTTAGTAAAAGCATGTTTTACGTATTTCATGGAGCATACTGATACTGAAAATAAGTGTTCCCTGTTCATCTGAAATTAAAACTTGCTTGAGAGTTTGCTTAGTCTGTTGGTGCTGCATTCTGTATCCATGCATTCACCTCACAAGACCCCACACCCTGTGGACATGCTGCTTCCTTCTGGACATGTGGACAAACACCGACAAGGCATGTTCTGGAAGCACCTACATTCTCACTGAGGGGATAGCTTGAGGTTTTTCCTTTGGTTGCTTTGTTTTTACTCTGCGTGTGTGTGGTGGGGGAGAGGGTGGTACTGGGGCTTGAACTCAGGGCCTGGTCACTGTCTCTGAGCTTTTTAGCTCAAAGCTAGTGTTCTAGCACCCTAAGTCACAGTGCCACTTCTGGCTTTCTGGTGGTTAGTTAGAGCTAAGAGTCTCATGGACTTTCCTGCTTGGGCTAGGTTTGAACCACGATCCTTAGAGCTCAGCCTCCTGAGTAGCTAGGATTATAGGCATAAATCACTAGCATCTGGTGTTAGTTTGAGTTTTATTAAGACAGACATTCTGGAGTGATGTATTAAGGCAAAAATATAAAAGACCTCTCTCTGCTCTTTCTGCCAGGAGCATTTTAACATGGCATCTTCCCTTCCAGAAATAGTCCTGGCCATGCCTGAGGAAAGGGCTGCTAGGCTGTCCTTCTCTTCCTGTACCCTATCCCAGCAAAGACAGGGCAAGTCTAGCCTCTGACTC